AAGGTAATCAAATTAATATTGTCAAATTAAAAAAACTTAGTAATTTAATATGTTTTATCAAATATTATTATTTGACCTTAAATTTATATTTTAAATGAATTAATTATCATTTAAGATTTATAACAAATATATTAGGTTAAATTTTAATTTATGAAATTGCAAAATATTTTATAGAAGAAAATACAATTTAGAAAAAAAAGAATTTATAGCTTGAAAGTTATTATGAAGCCGTAGAATCATATGATAAAGCAATAAACATCAAGTCTAATAATCAACATTACTATGTTAGGTCAGGTTATTTTTTATTATGAATTTTAGGATTAATATTATTTAAATAAATAATATTTTCTTTTTATATAATCTTAAAGTAGAGAATAAAGGTATTGATCCCTAAAATTGTTAGCTAATGCATTATTGATGACAATCATTAAATTGATAAAGCATAAGAATTTCTTGAATAAGTTTCCTCTTTGGATTTACAATTAAAAATAAGACAATTTAAAATTAGGTTAAAATTATAAAATGTTTATATTTTAATTAATAAGAACCTTATATGAATTAAATATTTTGATTTATATCTATAAGGCATTGATATGAAATATAGAGATGATTAATCTCAGTTTATATTTTTAACCTTTGATAAATCTATTTATGCTTCAATTTTGCATAATTAGTATCATATTCAACATATTCTAAAAATGGATTTTTTGATTGATCATACATTCATCTAATTTAAATCAATATTAATTTTTTTTAAATTAAATTGATTTGTGGCTTTGTGTATATTAAAATATAATATATTCTGAATCTACACATAAGTTATCTTACTTACAATCCAGCTTTTTTTTTATAAAATTCTATAAGCAGATTTATTGCAAATAATACATTATCTTTTTTATATCAATTAAATTTTTATTTTTCTTTTGAAAAGAATCCAAAAATGAAATTTTAGTATTATTTTATGAATTTAATAGTTCTAAGAAAAAACATAGCAGAAGCAATTGCTGCTAAATGAAAGGGTACTAAATTTCTTTTAGTTGAGTGAACGAATTTTTAAAACAGCTTAAACAAAAATTTAGTCTTTTTCAAATCAATTATCAGTAAGACCATATCCAAAATCAAAAATCAATTACAGTTAATCATCACAATCGTAAATACAATTATCATATAAAAGTTTTCAGATTTATAATCATAATATAGTAATTATAAGTATCAAAAAATAGATTTATAAAAATGAATAAGATTTATTATAAGCCTATGTTACAATTAAAAAAAAAAAATTAGCAATTAATATTACAAGCAAAATTCATATTATACAGTTTACTTATTCGATAAAATTATCTTATCCAATGGCTGAATTAATCTAAAATTAAAATATATTCCATTTATACAGTCTTGATATGAATTCTAGCAGCTGTATTTGTAAAAAAGATACCCATAACCATAAAATTGCAATATTTTCAGAGGTACCTCAAAAATTTCCTCATCATAATAATTATAGATACAATAATTGTTATTTAATATTATAAGCAAATTAAATCAAAGCAAAACTGTTTTGCTTTGATTCGTCATTAATATTTTAACTTCGCTTAAATTTTTTTAACAAAACTAATTAGATCTTGATATGTTTTATAAAATAATTTGACCCTTTCACTTAAATTAATATATATTATTAATTTAAAGTATGAAAAACAATTTAATAATAAAACAATATCATTATTTATTGTGATTAATTGATTCCTGAATAGAATTAATATAACAAAAAAGGATATTTATCATTCCATTTGTCTTGTTTAATATTTATAGGATACTAAATAAGAATAAGAAATGAAAATTTGAGTAATAATATTACAAAATAAGTACTAAAGATCATAACTTTGATAAAAATTTATGAAGTAATAAAATATTCAATTATTGTAATTATAATTTGCCTTCTGTTCTGACTAAATTAATAAGTTAATGAGTTCTTATCCAAATTAAAAAATAGATTATCATAGCTTTGAGACACGGTGATACAATCTCTAAAGGCTTAGCAACTCTCTAAAACTCTGTATTGATCATCCTCATTTTTATTTGACAAATAGCATGATTTAATAATTAAAAATTGAATTAAGTAATTAATGTTAATAAGGTTGGCCTCAATCATTACTGCCTTATTTATTATTAGCGATATTTAAATAACCAATGAATAATGCTTGAAAAGATTATCTAGAACTAAATCAATTATTAGAGGAAATTATCAAAATATATTAAATTATAAGAATGGAAATTTAATCTCAGAAAAGAATTAGCATTCTTTTACAGAATATTATTATTGGTTTTTTAGAGATACAATTTATATTATAGGTGGAGCATATGGATACTAATGGTGCCGAATAGGATAATCTATATAAGTAGATTTGATATAAAAATATGAATTAAATACTATAAAAATCTGGTTATGGGATTAAGATAATAGGGTTTATAGAGTAAAAGTGTTTATCAAATTCTAAAATATAGAAACAAAAATTTATGAAAGTAATTTAGCATAAAGTGTAGTTACAATTAGATTT